TACTGGAACGGCTGTTTTTTGGCCGCGTATTCCAAAACACCCGTCTGGGGGCCGTTTGTGTCACACGGTGCCAGGGTCCTGCACCCCGTAACACCGGGGACGTCAGCCCCACGGGACGGGCCCGCCGCTTCCAGGGACGGCAATGCTGCATATTCCCGACCTCCCTTTCCCCTATTTCTGTCCCCGAGGATGAGAATGTAAGAGAACAGGGCAACATTTTAACAGGAACGGGAGCCCCAATGCTGCTCCCCAGGCTCGCAAGGACTTCAGCATCAGTCCTGGTCTTCAAAGCCGGAGATGGAAGAAGGCAAAAATGCCGAGCCACGCTGGAGCATCCCGGTTCCCCAGGAACAAACCTGTTTTCCCACGCGGAGCACGGATGCCGCAGTGCCGCCGCATTCCCAGCTCCATGGAGCTGCATTCCCAGCTCCTTGGCATGGGCATTCCCATTCCCCTGGGAGCTGCTTGCGCTGGGCACCAACCTTGCCCTGCTCTATGCCCGGGCTCCTCAGATAAAGGCAGTAGCTGCTGGTGTTTCCCCCGCCGCGAGGCTCCTTTTCCTTGGATACAGCGGCGCGGGCAATAGGATGGAAAAGAACCCGCTGGAAGTTCAGCTCGAGGAGGAACAGGACAACCATCCTCTTGTAGACAACAACAGCAGAGCGTGAGGCACAAAACACTTCTCGTGCGGGCCCGGGAAACGCCAGTCCATCGTGCAGCTCCTTGCGGCCCGTTTTAGCTGCAACTTTGCCTTTTTTCTGGCCGTCGGGGACATTTTGGGGACATTTTGCTGCATGCGGTTGGGGCTGGCGCCTCCCCGGGACCTCGTGCTGCCCTGGTTTGGTCCCAGGTCTATTCGTGTCAAGGCCCCGCTCTGCAGCCCCAGAGCGCCCGGTCCCCACTCGGCTTTCCCGCCTCTCCCACCGAGCCGGGGACCAGGAACCTTCTCACCTTCTCCTTACAGGATCCTTAGGTAAACTTCAGACATTAAAAAAAAAAAAAAGGAAGGAAAAAAGAGCAAAGGGAAATGAAATAACCCACAGGCTATTTCTAATATCCAGCTTCAGACCTGTGACTTGCTAAAAATGAGCTGGAAGGAAGATACCTTGGGCACTTGGCGACTGAGATCAGCAACATAATCAGAGCAAATAAAGGGTTTTTTTCACTCCATGGAGAAATCCCTCAGACTTGGGTGCACTCAGCATAAATAAATAAAACGGTCAGAATCAACAGAGCCCGGCTGAGATCCCGCCTCGTAAATGAGCAAAGCGCTGCCTCCCATGCGGAATCACTGCAGGTTTGGCGCCCGGTCCTGCATCTATTTAACCTTCTCCGTGTAAAGAGCCCACTGAAGTTCATGGAGCTGGACTAATTTGCAGTGGCGGGGGATTAAGCCAGTGGATCTAATCGTTTGTGCAGGATCACGTTGCGGCGTACCGTAGTCACCCGCCTGTAGGACAACCCGGAGATGTCACTTTGCTGGAAAAAACCATCCCGTGGCCGTTACGTAAGCGGCCCCGCGCTCCGGGAGGCTCCAGGTAGGCGCAGCCGCGTCCGCAGCCCGTGTCCTTGGGCAGGGAAAGCTCCTGCAGAGGAGCACGGCGGCGCGGTGCTGCCCTCTGCAATGCAAAGCTCCCTCCTTCCCAGCCTCGCCGGGGAAACGCCGGCGTTTTCCAGGGGCTGTTTCGTTAATGCCGCGTACGAGCGGCCTTAGCTGCACCACGGCAAAAGGATCTCGCCACGGCTCACATGGTAAACCCAAGTGAAAACATCCTTAGGCTGCGAGGGACTAGAACGAGCACTAATTGAAATTTATGAAGTTACGTAACGTTATTTATAAAAAGGAGCCCAATTGTTACAGGCCCTGAGAGAGCCGGAGCATGGGAATGTTTGTTCTCCCAGCAAAGAGAAATTAACTATGTAAGCTGATAAACTGCAGTTGCCTCGCTTGCTCCGCTCTCCTGATGCGCCCAAGGACTGTCTGGAAGGTTTTTGTGGTTCTCAGCTGCTCTTTTCTGGTGGTGCTTTTTAGCCTCGTGCTTCCACGTGTGGTGGCCTCGCGGCACAGGAATCATCTCCGTGCACGGGGCTTGTCCACAGTGGGAATGCAGCATCTGGGACCGCATTCCATAGGAGCTCTCAGCCTGGTCCGGAGGGGAAAAACCCACGGAAAGCCGGAGGCACCGCGCGATGCCCCACGGCAGCAGGGAAGACGCCGAATCCTCCATTGTGCAAACCCCGCTCCGTGAGCTGCTTCCCCAGGGCTGCTTCTGCATTTTGGAGACGGCTTTTAAGAGGCCCCGTTCCAAGAGGAAGAACGACGCTCCATTTTTCGGGTCGCAAACCACATGAAACGTTAATACATTAAAAAAAAAACAAAAGTCACGGAGGGCGGCCGCCACGGACGGCCGCGCACCTGCAGCGCCGGCGTCGCCACGTGATACCAGCACCCGCAAAAGGGCCCCTTTGTAACCCGCTGCAGCCCGGCCTCCTTGTAAATATTGGGAGAAAATGAGTAAATTGTTGAAATTCCCCAGAAGGGGAAGGAAAAATCGCCGAGAGTGCCGTGGAGCGAGCGCACGTCTTGGGGATGGATGCCTCTGAAAGCGTTGACTCGATACGTAGATCAAGGACTCTCCTCACAAAAATGCTAACTAATTTATCAATAGATAGTCAAGGATTTGAAGAATTGGTGTATGGAAGAGAAAAATCTGTTTAAAATGCGATGCAGCTCATCAAGACTTAAGCCACAATAAAACACGGAGGCCACCATTGGGCCAGTGGGAAGAGCCAGCTAAAAACACAAGACACCAATTCCAGCATCACTGCTAGCCAAAAGGATCTGCAGGGAAGAAGAACAAAAATATAGACGAGTGTAGAAAAAAAGGAAAAAACGATGAGGCTAAAGAAGCTGAACCATGGTAAAGGCTCTGATGTAAATCCAAAAATTCACATCAAAAGCAGCCTTTTGGGTTGAATGACCTGGAGTTTTGTCTGCTCAGAGCCCAGCATTGCCCTGAGGACAGATCAAGGCTCATGGGGACTCAGAGGGGCTGGAAAGGTCACCAGGGTGGGAAGTTTTGGAAGGGGGGATGTTCTGATATGAAAAAATCCACGCCGGGTTTGACCGAGGGTGGGGGCAGCACTGCAGCCCACCGAGGAAGAGGAGGAGGAGGAAGGTGGGCCCAGCTCTGCAGGGGGGCACGGGACGCGGGTCCTCAAATCACGACGCGGCTCCCATGGCCTTATCGTTTGGCCAAGACTAGGCATTTTTTATTTTTTTTCCCTCAAAAATGCAAGCTGCCCAAGTAATAAGATCAGGCCAGACTTCAGACAGACTCGACATCAGGGGAAGGGGCGCTGGAAGGAGGGGAAGCAGCTGCCATGGAGCTGCCCCTTTTCCACATCTCGCGTCCTCGAGGAAAGCAGTCGGTTAATCCCTGCACAACCCCGGTGGTTCTCGCTGCAGCATCCTCGCCTGCTTAGCCATTTTGCCTATTTATTATTCTTTGTGTGAAATAACACTTCCTGACATTTGTTCCCAGTTTGTTTCTCTTTAATTTCCATTTATAGCATATTTTCCTATCCTCTGTCCATGTTAAAATAAAACAATAAGTATCTCTGACACGATGCAAGTTACTTAAGATTGTGATCCTTCCCTGACCTTGATTTTTTTCTTTTTTTTTTTTTTTTGAAAGCACGCTCTAAAATGCAGAAATAACACAGTGATGAACCCTGACGAAGAAGCAAGCGTGGAAAGCTCGGAGAAGAGCCAACATCTCAGCATTTCATGCCCGGACAGCGGGGTGAGAACTGGGCTTGGTGATCACTGTCCAACCCCATTCTGACAAGCATCAGCTGGAGCCAAATCCTCCGGCGCTGGAAAGTCACAAGTTTGTTTATTTTTAAATAAGTCTTGGGCTTTGGGTGCATATCATCATATTGCCTTTGCAGTTATGAAAGGCAGAAAGATACTGTTTTGTTTTGTGGTTTTTTTTCGATGGAAACAGAGCTTTCTTCCAAGGAGACATCTCCAGCTCGTCGGTGAGTTAGCTGGAATATTTAGATGGGAAGGAGGATTTTCCCTGCCCTCTTTCCCAGGTCAGCCTCTGTTCCACGGGGTGCCGAGCAGGAACGGGCCCTTCCTCCCTGCCCCGCTCACCCCCAGCATGTGGGGACTTGGCAGAGGTTCGAATGGCAAAAAGGAGACAGAGAGGT